ATGGGGTTGTTAAGCAAAATGTTATTATCATTAAGGCATATGTTTTGTTTATAAGTTTGATATATGTGATATTTTTCTATTGTATCTCTGTGTCTTTTGTTTTTTACTATTTTTAATATGTCCATTGTTTCATCAATTGTGTTGTAAGCATGTCCTGTATTGAGAATGTGTTTAGAGTATGCAGAACTATCTTTATTGTGTTTTATGGCTGCTATGTGTTCTTTGTATCTGTGTGTGAAATTACGACCGGTTTGACCTATATATATTAGTGGACAATTCTTGCATATTACTTTATTGTGATTGACGGACAATTTTAATATATTTTAATACTATTTTTAAATAAAATCACAATATGACGCACCTACAATATCTTTTGATAAATAAACAACCTTTCTCCAACAGATCATGACATTTTGCTATTGATTGATCTTAAGTTGTAAAAATGTGCTTACTTACTTCATGGAGCCGAGTCCTTCCTGAGAAGCCAACAGTCGCTCAACCAATCAAAAATTCCCATAATTTTATGGATCCTAAAGGTTCATTACCGTGTTCACAAGAGCCCAATACTAGTCCCTATTCTGAGCCAGATAAATCCAATCCATACCACCCCATCTTATTTATCTAAGATCCGTTTTAATATTATCCTCCCATCTACGCCTACGTCTTCCTAGTGGTCTCTTTCCTTCTGGTTTGCCCATGCGGGCTACATGCCCTGCCCATCTCACACTCCTTGACTTGATCAATCTAATTACATATGGCGAGGAGTACATACGTAAAATTGTTAAGTACAAAACGCTTGAGGAATCTTCTAGCTCAATGTTACAATATTACAGAATTTGAAGCCTTATTAACAATAATGGTTTTAGTTACCGGTATGAAAATGGATTTTCTCATGTCACTCTGTAGAAAGATCCTACTAGTGGATAATATACAAGTGAGATAAAATTTGCATACTTGTTTTTATAGACAGTAGCCTAGTTATTCTTCCTTCTAACAGTTAGAAACACAAGGTGGGCATTCTTTGACTTCACTATCCTTATTTTTATTATTTAGTGTTCTGTCTGACGACAGGTCCATATGAACAGGATCCTTCCATCCTTTTCTCGGACTGGGACCTGCTCGTATACGTTCTTGGCAGATGATCCAGAAGTGGTTTGCCATTGCCTTCTTCTGTCTGTGAATGGAGTAATTGTTGGGATGCCACGGAGAAACCGGGGAAGCCCCCGGAGGAAAACTCCGTGTTGCCTAGACCACGGCCTTGCCCAACACAAGTTATAAATCTGAGCACCACCGGGAATTGAACCCCGGACCACAGGATTACAAGGCCAGCGTTCTAATCGCTAGACCACCGTGGCTCCACTATCCTTATCTCTTCATAATATCATCGTCTGAACAGCGACAGCTATTGAAAAATTGAGCATTATAATATCAAGACTGTTGCGCGCCATCTTGTCCGTGTTAATGGCCAACAAACAGCTCAATTACAACACCTGTGGAGATGTTGCAACTGCGGTTGATAGAACCAGCATACAGGTAAGTGATACGCCATCTCATCAGAGATGAACGCCGCGTGTGTCCGTCTGTCTGCTGTCATGTTCTCTCCAGGCAATGAACATCATCATCTCCTGCGTCTGCTGTCTAGAGAACGAAGTCACGAATTGAGTGCTGTACTCCAGTTCATGTGACATGAACCAAGGAGCAGCTCTTTTCATTATCATAGTTCTGCATGTATAACCTGAGGAATATTTTTCTGTCTGGGTGTTTGCTGTGGGGAATGTATGGACCTAAAAGCAACGACGTTTCGGGAGGTTTGAGAAAACCACATAACGAAAACTATAATTTCTACTCTTCACAACTGATAGAGAAGATCTCGGACTACCGGATCAAACAACTGAGTAGGTGTAATCCTTCTTTACCTGAAGACGACGAAGAACCATCTTTCGAAACGTGCAAATTCTTAAGACTTCCTTTTTTAAAAAATAATTCAACAGATAATGTATAAATTTGAGGAGAATAACAGTTACAATATAATATTATAGCCAAAGAAATTTATGGACGTGAGACTTAAATTCTACATCCATATAGGCCCACGCTTTCATGACTTTGTTCTGGAAACTATATAACGTCTGACCAAATCTTACTTAAGAAGAAAATAAAATATAAAAGGAACACAATATAAGCCAAAGCAGTCTTATAGTAAATAAATATACCTCTTTCAGATTTGAAGTTTTCACGGCGATAAAGATTGGATTGTGTTTTGTGGGCTGTAACTCTGTGTAGTCTTGTAGGAGGTTACCTCCGTGTCCAAGGTAATTTGTTGTACGGAAACATTGATACAGGACAAACAGCGTCACAACCCAGAATACCTAAATCCATGTTAAAGTATAGAACAATTGGTTTGTAGTGTTTGTCTGTGTAAGGTACATTGGATGGAAAAAGTTTCACTATTTGAATACATGAGATGAATAACAAAGAAAATTATGACCGGAGTTAAGATTATGAGAAAAATAAATTTGAAAATGAGTGTGACTATTGAACTAAAAATAAACTGTCACCACTCTGTCTAATTAACTAACTAGATGGCTTACCGAACCCGAAGGTTCATCACTGAATTAACAAAAGCCCTCCACTGAACCCTGTCCTGGGCCGACAAAATCCAATTTCTTTCAACTCCTATCTCCCATAGATCCCGCCTGAGATTATCCTCCCATCTACGTCTAGGTCTCTCCAGAGGTCTCTTCCCCTCAGGCTTCCCAACCAATACCCGGTGCACACCTCTTGCCCCATCCATACGCGCTACATGTTCCGCCCATCTCATTCTTCTCGACTTAATCACCCTCACAATACTGGGGGAGGAGAACAAATTTTTAAGATCATCATTATGCAGTTTCCTCCACGCCCCATCGTCTTCCCTCTTAGGCCCAAATATCCTCCTCAACACCCGATTCTCAAACACCTGCAATCTCTGTTCCTCCCTCTGAGGGAGAGACCATGTTTCGCACCCATACAAAACAACAGGCAAGATTATTGTTTTGTAAACTTTAATTTTCAGGTTCTTAGAAATCAGACGGGAAGACAAAATATTTTGGACTGAGAAGTAGCAAGCATTTCCGGAATTTAGTCTCCTCCTAACTTCCTCACAAGTATCATTTTGATTTGTTATTGTTGTTCCCAAATATTTGAACTTTGTAACCCTTTCAAAGGATTTATTAGCTACCCTAAGATAATTTTGCCCGCCTGTCTTCTGATGACGAGATACTAACATGTACTTAGTTTTTTCGGAATTTACTTCCAGCCCCACTTGTCTACCAGCCTCTAGTAAACCACTCCGTCTATATTTACAAAAGTAATATTCCTCTTTTGTGCTTATTTTATATCGTATCTCATTCTGAAGAAACAACACAACTTGCAGACATGTAAACACAAAATACTGAGCAAAATTTCTTATCCAGAAGTATACTACAAGTTAAGAATAAACATGAGAATATTAAATTACATAACTAAAAACTCCCGGTTACACAGGTCAGCTTAGGCCGTTGGGATGGACTGAACATTTAGCTCGTGCGGTGTAAACGAACAGTTATCACGAAGGTTTGATGGTGAAACATCTGCTAAAACAGACACTTTGAAGACACAGATAGAAAATTAACATAACAGCCCTTCTCCGCACCTACATACTAAATGTTGTTCTGAAAAATTAGAATACAGTGAACTGAAATTGCACATCTGTGACCTAAGACGAATATTATAAAAATGTGTCATAACTATGAAAGCTGGGTGAAACATGTTCAAAAATTTTCTAGTTGATCTGGATAGGGCACAACTTCGAACATGTTTGGACACGTGATCATAGCGTAATAATTCTGTAGCGTTTGGCAGGATTTTACATTAGAAATTTGCAAATCGCTTCAATGACGTGAGAGTTGTCTGGTGTCAATAGATGGGCCACTGCCAACAGTTTCCAACGTCTGATTTTTCCTTCGGATCAAGGTATAAATTTCTGAAACATGGAGACTTCTTTACAGATGTAATGGTGTTACAGGAATTATATGACTGTGGCATTTGACCTTTGCGTACAGAGCACAGCGAATTTAATTATTTATATTATTTAGTGTTCTGTCTAACGACAGGTCCATTGTTCTCCCCAAAAAGATTTCTCCAGTTTTCCCAATTCTCAGCTTCTCGTTTTAATTCCGAATTTAATTACACACATTTATTTATTGCATCAGAATTCGAATATTTACTTATAATTCAATAAAAGATAAAAATTTCGAGGTTTTTACTATATAACAATAGGTTGATTATTTGCTATATTACCGATTTCTATATTTATCTGTGACAAAGTAGGTTCAGAAAAGTACGTATGTTATTTTGTTATAATTACACAACAAGCCTACCACATTTCTTCAAGATCGATTGAACGTTCTTGAGTTATTTTAAACAAACAACTAAACAGAAGAACATATCGATTTGAATAGCTCACCGCAACCTATTTCAACCAGGGTACCGATACGTCTCATTTAAAAATCAGACGTGTTAACGCTGAATAACCTGCTGCTCGCTGGGGTCCTATGTTTCGTGTGATGAGACCAGACGGGCGTTGCTGTGTTACCTTGTAACAACCGTTGCCCCTCTTCAACTGTCTTCATCTTGAGACGAGAGAGGTCACCACCTGGCTGGCTACCCGCTGCTTCTGGATAAATAAGCGACAGTGATCAGTGGTGGATATCCTCTTTCATTTGTTGTAGTCTTCAGCTTTACTAAGGTTCGTGGTATATTTAGTGATGTTTTATCAGCGTTGTGTAGTCTGGTAGAAAATAAACATCTTCAAAGAACCTGAAATTTCACCAAAACTAAATAGACTCTGAGATTAGAAGACGAATTGCGAAAGCTGTGGATTGCATGAAGCAATTGCAGAAATGGACGAACCGAGGAAAACTACGAAAAGCAGCAGTCATTATAACCGATTTGTCCATGGAGACTCCTCCTCGAAGAGAAAAAGCACCAACCACAACACACCGACAACGTCATGACAAAATCAGTATTTTAATGTAAGACTTGAGGTTCTCACAGTGGTGAGTATGAAGATTTCCGTCTTCTGGGTTGTTGCGCTGTGTAGTCTGGTCGATGTTAACCA